TCAAAATTTAGGCCCAAATTTTGGTTCAAGAGCCCTAAAAGGTTTTCCGCGTGGCCATAGGATGGGCCCAGAAAAAAATGTTGGCCCAAAAATATTGTAGGGCTTCTTTAGTTGGCCTCATTTGGCATTAATTGACCTTTATTTTTTGTTCAATTTAAGGCCAAATTTTCGCCTGAATTTTGGTTTTAGGGCTCTAAAACTTTTACGCGCGGCCTTAGGATGGGCCTAGAAAAAATGATTAGCCAAAAATATTGCAGGGCCTCTTTAGTTGGCCTTTACTTGACCTTTTTACTTGATCTTTTTGGGCCCTTCAAAATTTTCAAAATTTGGTTATAGGGCCCTCAAAGGTTTTCTGCGCGGCCATAGGATGGGCCAAGAAAAGAATGTTGGCCCAAAAATATTGTAGGGCTTCTTTAGTGGGCCTTTTTGGGCCTTACTTGACCTTTTTGGGCCTTATTTTTTCAATGTTATGCCAAATTTTCAAAAAGCTGGCCATAAATTTTCAGAATTTTGGCCCAAATTTTGGTTTTAGGGCCCTAAAAAGTTTTTCCTCGCAAGTTAGTGCGGATATTTTTTCATGACTTGATGAAGTGTGGGCCCCCCTTGTTAGCTTCCGGATCCGCCACTGTCCTTTACAATACAAAGGGGCTTGGTTTAGCATGGGGAATTTTTTTTTTGGGGGGGGGGGGTTGCGGGGGGGGGTTCGAGCCCCCCCCCCCCTTACAAAAAGCTGGCTACGGGTATGAATAACAATAGATCTAGTAAAACTTCATGAGACCAACATATCTTGTAACTGGAACTGAATATATGTTGAAAGCAATACAAGTTATGGGGAAAATACGTCGAATTATACGAAATACTTACTTCTGCTAGCCAAAATGGCCTCAGCCGGGACGAATCTAAATTGCGAATGGTCTATGTGGAACGAAACTGTAGCAATTTCTATCAATGCAATATCATTTATGGAATAAATAGTCTAAATAGTCGATCAAAGATCATTTATATAATTCAAATAACCATGCATAAAGAATTTGTTTTCAGTGAAGTCGAGAAGAATTGAGTCCATCTGAACCGACGCTCAATCACTTTGTCCATTGGTGTCAAACGTCACGCACGTTAGAATTTTATTGGTTCTATTCTATTTTCTGCATACAATAATTGACGAAATTTTCTGAACTGTGAAACTGAGATTAGACAAAGCAATAAAAATCAGTGCTTGGCACTCCTGACAAGACTATTGACATAACCATTAGGCTTAACATAAGGACAAGATGCTTGACACGAACACTTTTATCATCACATACGAAAATTACGGAGTGGCTCCAGGACCGACAATTGTCGGTACTGGAGACTGTCCAGGGGTATTTGCTGGGGTACCGACAATTGTCGGCACTCTATCGTCACCTAGTGGTGCCAGATAGAGAACCGACAATTGTCGGTACGCAAGTGGCTGCTACGTGTTTTTGCTAGAGAGCCGACAATTTCATAAATAAAGTCACTATTCTTACCTTCAGAAATAACCTCATCTCTGGTAGTCTAGTGGTTAGCGAGCACGACTCAAACACACTCGGTCCCGAGTTCGAATCCCGGCAGGCTCTGCTTTTTTATTTTGATGGGGGCATAATGCTTCTTTTGCAGTATGGAATCGTACAGGCATTAACTTGTAGTGAGCCATAATTTATTTCGACAAAAATTGATTCAACTTCCATCAAAATTGTCCTACAAGCTTCAATTAAAATACATTTTAAGCTCTTTTCTTGTTCTATCTAATGGGTCGATATATACAGTTAATTAGGGGAGGGGATGCTTTCGCCCCCGTCGACCTCTACCCTTACTACGTCATGGCACAGGAGAAATATCTCATTTGGAATATATCATTGTTTACTTTGCGTTTGGTAGCTCTCTCATGCGAGATGGAATCGTGGCCATTAACTAAGGGAGCCAAATGCAACTTCCATCAGAAATTGTGCTATTAGGTATGAGTACCGTAATCCAACACCAAATTCGAAAATTCATAACAATACTTTGCACATATGGCGTTCGTGACCAACTATGAAACGCTTACCCCCCATAGTGTTATATATCAAAATGCACCTGTCCATATAGGGGTTCGATTGACCTACATCAAATTATAGAGAGTCAGGTTACTTTTTGAGATATCAGCGTCCGTTTATTGTAACTCGCGTTTGCTACCACTTCCTCAATTCTTATATGACGGGCAAACGCGTAGTAAACATGCTCACGTTCGGAACTATTTTGACCTACATCGCTATTTTCGTAATTCAAATGAAAGTTGAACTCCTCTTTATTTTGATACCAAATAGTGGCATACTAGGTACCCTAGAAGCCAACTATGGGTTATTTAGAACGATACCACAGGTTTTTAAATGGACTATATAGGGGATATACCTTTTGGCGGATGGATATGGAACCTCATACCATAAGCTTCAAATAAAAAACATTCTAGCTATTTTCTTCTATCTAATGGGTAGCAATAAACGCCCCTTTCTACGCCTGATCGGCTCAGGAGAAATATCCTGTCTGTTTAGAATATATATAGCCGTTTACTCTGCATTAATAGCTCTCAAAGGTCTTACTTGTTCATGTTTTTTATTGGGTTTTCAACGTTTACTACCATTCCCTGTTCCCGGGCTACCATTTTTTGACTGGGTTTGGTAATCCCCAGGTAACCGGGGCTAATGCCCTCCCCGGGTTTTGCACTTGTTCCCAAAATATCCGTATGATATCTGAAATATCCCCCCGCGCATTGCGCATGCGCCAGAAAATTCGAAAATCAATATTTGTCGGTCCTCTAGCGTGTAAACACAGCATATCTCCCGTACCGACAATTTATTTGTCGGTCCTCTAGCCTGCCACCACATCAGAGTCTAGAGTACCGACAATTGTCGGTACTCTAGCCTTTACGTATAAATTAAGCTATGGTGTCAAAAAACAGATTAATGACGAAAACAACTACAATATTTGCTGATTCCAGATGAATGTTCCCTTTCTTACATTTAGGTGTGTGTGAAAATCGTTTTATATCAACGAGAAATTTAAGTAATTCGTTAATGCGAGAGTATGACACGATAAAGGACTACGTGCGTGGCGGATTAACGTGCGTAACGAAGTTTGACACCAATCTTCGAGCAACTTATAAAGACCATATTGTCGCTTCAGAGTTGAAACTTACCACTGGATCTATAACTACATCGCGTAAATGTGTAAATAAAATACAATTTCATTTACACATGTGATCGCGTATTTTGTATGAAAATAGGCTTTCTAACGTGCGTGACGAGTTTGACACGAAAAACGATAATGCACGCAACTGAGCATAAAAATTATTTTCCATATATACTTCATATAGCATTGAACACAATGAGAGCTCGGTGTATCCTCCTTTCGAAAAAACACTCATCTGACTTTTTGTAAAAATAATCAGCCTGGAGCTCATGAATAACGTGCGTGATGGTGTTTGACACCATGCATCACGCACGTTAGTTCTAAATTGACATTGTCTTATTTTTCGAGTATGGTAGATTTATTATCTGAAAACGAAATGATTCACATAGATAACCTCTGTAGACTTGTGGCAACACATTTTTCCGCCTCATTTCCAGAAAGAAAGATCCAGGGGATGTATCTCTGATGTACCCCCCAAAATTGCTTAAAAAACTGCAAAAACAGCTGGACACGAAGCCCAAAAAAGTGAATAACTTCAACAAATTTTAACATTTTCACCTGATATTATCCTCAGTATCTTTTTGACCTCTACTGAGTTGAATAAAATAATCGTTTTTGGCTATACTTCTCAAAATGTTGAGATATCGAGCATGTAATATTGAACTTTTGAGTGACGAACTTTTGAAAAAGACCCATATCTAGTAATTAATTAATGAAGCAACTCCCCTGAGCCAATTAATTTGGAAGTGACATGTTCTGATTAACACTCTTATCCTTATCCAGATTTTGTAAAAACTAAACCAGAAGCGACTTGAACACAAGAGACAACATTTTCATGGATCCCTTTTAAATTTTAGCGAAGAAGTAAATTGGCATTTTTTCAATTTCACCAAATTAAAGTAGGCGACAAATTGACCAATCTACAGTAGTTGCTGTAGATCAAATGTGACGGAGGCATAAGAGGTTTCTGGAATCATGATTGAAAAAAGATGCCAACACAATCAACCCATGTAGTCATGGTGACATTAAAACACTAGTAGTGTACAAAAATGACTTTTGACATTTACAAGTAACTACTGGAGCACAATGAAAGGTCACATTGGATTGCAGATATGAACTCCTTTTGACATCGAACAGATAATTCATCCCTTTTTGACATCTTTTTCTATTCACACTTGGTAGCAAAGTGCAATGAATATTCTACTTGAATGTACTCTTGTCGTTTATTTTGAGCTAGACCTTCACATTACATGATACAGTAAAACCCGTAAAGTAGAACACCTCTTTAACTGTTTAAGTGAAACACCCCAGTCAGTGGAATACCTCCTTAATAGTAGAACACTTCCAGAGTACTGTGACCAATTGACGAATGTTAAATGATCCCCTGCAAATGAAAAACCTTCTAAATGGAACATTTTTAGAGCTACCAAAGGTGTTCCACTTATGCAGGTTTTACTATACAACAATAAAGTAAAATAACAAGTCTTAGTATCTAGAGAACATTCTGTCATAAGTGTCTTGACAAAAAACAAATATGAGAGTTATTTTACTTTTAGTTCTGAGCTGTTTTGCTCTCGAAAAAGTCAACACTGGAAAGGTAACTTTATATTTTACTTTACATTATTATTACATACCTAAGTAAACAGAGTAAGGTGAAGAACTCCATCAATCTATCTGGGCCATAACTTTAATTTTTGGGAAATTTTAACAAACAATTTTGCCTAAATGTCGTTTACAAAGTTATAACTGCTACTTTATTATTGTAGGTGTTGATTCAACCTTTTCCACTATGTAAGCTATCACGGATAACAGCTATGGAGCAGATAGCACTAATCCTTTCAAAGGCTGGTCATGATATAACATACTTCGTCCACACGGAATACACTGCCTCAGAAATACTTAAAGCAGCAAATGTTACCATTATCACATATGAGTATCCCACAAAGGACCTAACATACATTCTGGGAGAGGATACGATAACAGATTTCACGAAAATGACAATTCTAGAAGAAATGGCATTTGTGTTTCAAAAAGGACAAATCCACGACATATATGTTAACTATTCAATTTCTGCATATTTCTCAAATATGGACCAATGGAGGGGACTCAAAGCCCAGAACTTTGATTTGATAATATTTGACAGCCACGATTTTGCTTTAGGAAGGCTCATGAAGGAATATCTAGACAGACCTGCCATACTTTGGTCAAATGCCGGCTTTGAGATGCATATCGATAACTGGCTGGTGCCATTGCCTGTATCATATATACCTATCATGTTTGTGTCATATAGTGACCAAATGACTTTTAAAGAACGAGCAATGAATACATTTTACTATGTGGCATTACAGTACTACATGAAAGACTGGTGTGACACGAGAAATAATGCTTTGGAAAAGGTCGCTGATAAAGTTAGATTGCCTCATAAAATTAGACCTGTTCTCAATGATGCAGACCTCATATTTATCCAGTCTAATTTTCCATACTTCTACCCTCGTCCAATCATGCCAAATGTTGTCCCTGTATTAGGGTTACTAGATCGTGACCATAAGCCAATTGATGCAAAGTTTCTCAACTTCATAGATGGCGCTAATGATGGTTTTATCATCTTCACACTAGGTACATTGGCAACAGGTTTCGATGCGCAAACTCGGGAAATTTTTGCTACTGCGTTTGCGATGTTGAAACAACGAGTTTTATGGAGGTATATTGGCTCTGATCCTCTATCACTAGGCAACAATACAATGTTGTCACCATGGTTACCACAAAACGATCTTCTTGGGCACCCAAAATTGAAATTATTCATTACCCATTGTGGATCAGGAAGCTCGGGAGAAGCTGTTTACAACGCTGCACCTGTGATTGGTCTTCCTTTATTTTTAGATCAGCGCCATCACTGTGCTCTTTTGACAAAACGTCATAAAATGGGATTAACATTATCATTTGCTGATATCACATTGGACACATTTTCTGCTGCGATTGTTGAGGTCCTCGGAAACCCTCAGTACAAGAAAAATGCTGTAAAAGCGCAGAAACTGGTCCGGGATCAACCCATCAATGCTACATACACAATTCAGTATTGGTGTGAATATATTATGAAGCACAAAGGCGCACATCACTTGAAATCTTCTGCCATGTTTGAACTGAACTTCTTCCAGTACTTCTTATTGGACATACTACTGCTTGTATTAGTTACTGTGGTGATTTCTTTGGCTGTACTATATTGCATCATTAAACAGTTGGTACTGTGTCTTTGTAAATATAAGTCCCAGAAACTTAAGAAATCTTAAGATATATTATTCTTATGGCAGGCTCATGGCGGTCAGGCCACAAGGATGAGATATATATAGCCAAAATGACGCAACCTCCGAGGAGGAGCAGACTTACAGAATACGTCTTATGATACAATCATGTAATCAAAAAATGAAAATGTTTTCAGCTAAAAGTTAAAAAAACTTATTCATGTTATTGAGCTTACACCTTATATTCCACATGGAGAAATTTATTGTTTAGTTTGGTCGTCTTTGTTGTCAGGCAAATTGTAGGAATTCGAATGAAAATTCACAAGGATTGGTCTTCGACATTCCTTTGTGAACCTTTCAGGAGGAAACCATAGAATGTATGATAAATTTATGCAGCAATACTATCTTGGTTGTATTGAAAAAAGTCACACCGTCAGTTGATCAGAACGTCACACATTTGCTGATCATTTTTGGGAAGTAAATTGGATTTTTTTTTATTTGAAATGAGTGCACAGTAAACTCCCTGAATAAAGGAGAAAATTAAATATTTTGATCAAAATTCAACTTGCTAATGGGCTATAGCAGAAATCACGCCTCAACATGGAGATCACAAAAGAATGCTGCGTGCAATGTTGCTTGTAATAATGTTTTGTGGAGAGTAATAAATCAGTATTGCTATTATTTATACATTTTTTTATTTTATATATTATGAGCTGGAATGTACAAAGAAAAACTGTACATATCTTACAATATAACATGAAATTCAACATTAACTATTGCTGTTAAAATCAATTGTTTTACAATGTTAACAAATATAGCGAATCAGATGCTATTTTTCACTGAAACTGAGATATAGATATAATCCCATCCCCCAGCATTCGATAGGGTTCTTCTGTCGTATCAGCTGGATTTCCATTTCAATCCATTAGAAGGTTTATGTGTCTTTTATTTTGCTATAAAATCGTTATCTCAATAAACAAGTTTCAACGTAACACAAATGATTTTAACAGAACTATACATAAATACATGAACTCGTGGATGACAAGGATATGCAATGTACATACAAACAATATAAAACCTAAGTCAAAATAAATAATTCAAATAAATGACTATTTTTGGTTAATAAATTGGTCGACCCTTCTTTCCAATCTTTGATGAGATCAGCTCATGTATTCTGACATTTTTACACAAAAAGTTAAATTGATTCACTTCTAATGTCTAAAGGTATTTAAATTTCAAAACACTTTATCCTTTCATATTAAAATCAATATATTATCACTAACTAGTAACTTGGCAATTCTATTATGAACAAATTACACATTCCCACTTGGCAATTAATAAAGATCATTTTTACAAGCGACATACTCCCACTTTAAATTAACTGAAACTGAGATTTTTCTTTGACACCTCTTCCTAAATGGAGCTAGTACACATAACATGCACTGAAAATTAAATGGATTTTAAAATCTGAATTTCAAAATCCATAATACAAAGCTTCATCTAATACAAATAACCCCTATAAAAATTGGTGAAGATTCCTACATCTAGATGTACAATTGATATTAGGAAGTACTTATTTTACTGCAATATTCACTTGTTTTACAAACACAAAATCCACAACTCCTTGTTCCTCATATTCATTCGGTCTCCATTCATAAATATCATTTACATACAGAGGTTCAGGTTCTCTGGCCTATTTCTCTTCTGAACTGAACTCTACTGAACTCTAAGTGAAAACCCTTGCAAAATATATCACGTTCCTTATTTAATATCAAACACATGTCAAACAGACCTTAATAATAGGTCAGATTTTTGAAATATATATTTTTGCAATATTTCCTATTTTGTATGGTGGGTGTGAATCTGCCACAATATATTTTGAAGGGGTTCACTGGATTCAATCATTCATGTCATGATAATGGATTTATTAATGATAGCTGTCTTGCTGGATCACTGAGTAAAATGAAATGAAATTACACTAAATTCTTTCATCGTTATAATTCATCATCGGGACCATTTTCTCCATGTCCATGTTTAGTTTCTTCAGTTTCAACTTTCTCTGATTTTTCATCATTGTCTGATTTATCTGAAGATTCTGTTTCTTTTTTATTATCAGATTGTTCTTCTGTTTTGGTAGATTCTGTATTAGACTCTGGAAGAGGAATATATAATATGTAAATTGACAGATACAAAGAAACGTTTCAAGCCTCGCGAAACTGCATTGTTTTCTGGTTAATAAAAAGTTTTGATTTAGCAGTTTTATATCCAGAAGTCATTCTACTAGACTTGACAAGTCTGACAAGATTAAATATGATTACTGTCAAACTAATTTGATATTCAGAGGAGCTTTGAAAAATCAGTCTAAGCAAAATGCTGTAAAACTTTATTTATATATACCTGTATTTTTAGTTTCTGTATTTATTGGTTCTTCAGTTACAGGTTCATCTCCATTCTCTACTTCTACCTGAACATCTTCATCATCATCCTCTACTGAAACAAACAAAAATGTATAATTCATTTTCAATGTGGTATGTAGCCTTGCCCAAGTCGGTATTTTTTACTTATCTGATCTTGAATTATTACCGCCTTGTACAATCCAATACACCTGCGCTGATATTATGCAGAGTTATTTAACGGTTTCGAGATTTCCATAATACCTACGCTATCAGGGGTATCGCGAAACCTTATGGATTAACAGATATACGCGTGGACAGTCTGGACACGACGTGTGACTTCAGGCTGATTGACCAATCAAAAACGTTATCAGGTTGACCTGCATAAGCAAAGCAATCTTCCCGATTTGAAATTCAATGCCGATGATCTGATTGATCGTTTCTTTAGAGTTACAATATATTATGTAATTAAATGTACATAGGGAATGTAAGAGTCATTAATATAAATTAGATATATAAATTAAATCATGCAATAGATTTAAAACTGATTTCGCGATGAAAATGCAAGACCGAGTCCAATGTAGCGGGTCATGTAGTCGATCAGTGATTGAATCTCAGCCTACATGTTCATTTGAATTCAGCGATCGTTTTAACGTTTATTGTTGAAATCTTCTCACCTCCGGTTACCGATCGATGCTCCGGCATCCACTAAACTCTGATTGATATTTATCTGATAAAATATTTGTATTTTCATGATGAATTCATGCAAGTTTGTTCGTGAAAAGTTCCGGCGAAAAGTAAAAAGTGTACTTGTTTTTGACCTTGCATAATAATGAGCTAACGCTGTAGGGCCGTCGCTGATTGGTCAAATTTTACCGACATAAACATTGAGTCGGTAAAGCACGTGGCTTTCTCTTTGGTACAAGGCGGTCATAATAGAAATCAAGATAGTAAAAGAGACCGACTTGGGCAAGGCTATGTGGTATGGTACAAAAAGGTTTCATCGGATAACATGTTGGGCCAAGACCAAATTCATTGTGTCGCTCAGGAAGCTATTTAACAGTTTAACCAAACATTTAGATTATATACATTTTGAATTCTGACAGCTTTTTTTCTTAGTTGAATAACTGGTATAATATGATAAGAGGGGGAGGGGGTTGGGGGTAACCATAACAAAAATATAACATTTACCTTTTTTCTTATCTTTTTTATCTTTTTTATCATCTTTTACTTTTTTAGTGCCAATGTCCTCACTGGTTGTATTAGTAGTTGTATTAGATGCTTTAGTCTCTTCCTTTGGTTTAGGTTTGGGCTTGTAGTATTTCGCCTTACTAACAAGATACTTCACTTCCCTATCGAGGGCTTGCACTTTAGTTGCAATGTCCTCTATAAGGATTACTGGCTTTTCATATAGGGGGGTTTTCTCTTGCAGGGCCAATTGTTCTTCTCTCCAGGCCTGAAATTATAATGTAATCTTCGGTGAAAAAAAGTTGAACCGAAAATTGCTCAAACAGTTATTAATACGTTCATCAATATTTGTAAAAACACACTTAGTCTTTGACATTATAAATTAATTTATGTCTTCAAGAATCAAGGTGTTAACGCAATGTAATGGACATAATTTTATGAAGCCTGGATGGTTTGTTGTAAACTTATCTGAAACTAATCTTTTATAGAAACCATAAAACAGACTGTTTTGTTTAATTGAAATAAAGATGAACAATGGACGATGCTAAAGTATAATAAAAAGCATCTGGATTAGAAGACTTACTGTAGTTTCATTGACAAGTTTGGCAAGCGTGTTGAATTCAACTTCAGTGAAGATCTCATCTCCTTCGGTCATACCTGCTGTAAAGTTCTTCATGCCTTCTTTGAAATGAACTGAATAGTTGAGCATAGATTTGAGCGCATCTAAGGCAGCAGGTCTCTCTGATACCTCCTTTACACGTAATATGACATCTTTCATCTTTGCATGTAGATTAGCTTAGACACAATCAGGGAAACTGAAGATTAGCTTTACTTTAATACAAAGTTCAAAATATATTTGAAAATCACTTTAAAGCATGAGAAGTGTAGGCTGTCAAACTATAGATTAAGTTATGTCACATGCTAATCACATGACTCACCTGAGTTGGTACACCGTCTTCCTGTTCATACAACCAATCAGAAGCCTCGCTCAGTTTCCCTGACAACACACTACGTTCCTCTTCTGTTGAGCATTTCTCATAGTCCTCCTGGTAGAGTTTATCCTGGTAAGTGAATATGTAGGACTCCAGTTCATTTTTGGCAATCTCAAGAAGTCTTTTTTCCTCATCTTTCTTTCTCATATCATCAATCCTTGAAAACAAGAAAGAACATGACCAGTCCCTTAACAAACATTCTATTGTCATCAATTATTCTTGACATCCTCTGTCCAGTGTTTTACTACATCAGGTCTACTGCTGTAGCAAAGGAATGCTTGTCCAGATCATTTGCTGTACAAAGGACCCCTTGAACAGTAAACATGAATATGGTAATAAGATGTTCTCATTGTTATACAATTTCATGTAAAATTTCAATGTCACTTTTGAAGAATGTAATTGCTATCTTGGAAGTCATTATATATAGGCCTAACCTCATTCACACATTGACATAACTCTTAATTGCAACTTTTCTTGGCCTCATTGCATAATTGCACTCATTTTTTGCACTTACTTTTTCTTCATTGACTGTATTTTATCTTCAGAGGGTTCAGGTAGACCTCTATGTTCTGTCCTGGCCTCAATAGGTTCTTTGATTGTCTGTGGCTTTGGTGGTTTCTTCTCTTCTTCCTTCTCCTCCTTCTTGTCTTTGTCTCCCTTCTTGCCCTTCTTGTCTTTCTTGCCTTCCTTGAATATCAAGTCAAACCACATGTGTATTCTCCAAGTACGATAATTGTGTAGTATTTAGCAATGGGCGTGTACATGCACATGTATGTTCTTCTAAGTACAATAACTGTAGTTTGAATATTCAAAATAACATTTTGGATTTAGTCAAGTTGGGAGCACAACTAGATCTCACTTACCCTGGAATCATATTTCTCTCCATTTGCCTTCTTTTTCTTCTCTCCATTCTTTGTCTCCTCTTTATCACCATCAGCCTCAGTCTTATCACCTTCCTGTTTAGTCTCCTCATCAGACTTGCCCTAAAAGAGAAATATAATGCATTCATGTTTTGAAATGAAAAAACAGAGGGCAAAGGGGTGGACAAGAATGAGACAAGCAAGGAAAGAAGAACTAGCAAGTATAGGATAAGCAATAAATGAAGTACAAACAGTAAAAACAACAAGCAATGAATTAGGAAGGAATTCATTTCAAATTATATACAAACTTTTTCTATAGGCTG